GGACGACGTGATCTCAATCTATACTGATGGTTCAAAGACTGAAAGGGGCACGGAATCGGGAATCTTCTCCGAAAAGCTGAATCTTCCTGTGTCTTTTCGACTACCTGACACCTGCACGTTTCTTCAGGCAGAGATATATGCCATCGATACAGCCTCAAGAAGAATCTGGGAACTAAATCTCGAAAATTCGTTCATACATATATACTTGGACAGCATTGCATCAATCAAGGTTCTTAACTTCAATGTTATTAAGTAAGAAATGTCTTCTAAATTGTAATCAATCATTGGCACAACTAACATAACATCACGTTGAGTTGATATGGGTTCCAGGACATGAGGGTATCCAGGAACATTAAATATCTGATGAATAAGCAACCAAAGGGTCCCTAGACTTAATATTTGCGCAAAGGTATATTGACACTCCCCTGGTGACCTTATCATTATTGATAGATGACTAGGCTTTGAGTGAGACGGAACTCAGGTGGTCAAATATCACCACTTGCAGAATATCGAGACTGCTCTGGCCCACTCTGGCAACGGATAGGACTAGGACTCTCTTTTGTCTAGTCCTATCCGTAGTAGTCAACGAAGTTAGGGGGAAAACCATTCTCTCAACATAAGGGAATGACAATTCTTAGGGTATCACAATGGGCCACAAGGCCTTCGAGTGATACCCAAGGTACTAAATATTTCGAAATATGCCATGATTTTGATATGAATTATAAATAAAAAGTCACAATTTTCTTTTATTTAATTATGTATTTTTCCTGTTTTATTTCTTGAATTGGTTTTATTCTTTTATTTTATTCTCTAATAAATTATACACATCTTAAAATTAAATAAAACTAAATATACAATAAATACAATTAAATACAATACAATTGATAAATTTATGATTATAGGATATGCTTATTTGATTACTATTTTTGCATACAATTTCTTAAATATTCGTACATTAATAGGAAACATTTTGAGGGGGAAAAGTCATCATTATTTTACTATTTACAAGAACAAATGAAAAATATACACTTAAAGGAAATGTTGTAATAATTTAATAAAGCAATTACCCTCTAAACAAAAGAACTTTTTTATATAACAAATTATAATAGTTTTATTATAACAAATTATAATAGTTTTATTATAACAAATTAAATAATATGAATTGTTCATTACGAGTACGAATAATAAAGAATTTTATTTCTTAATATATTAACAAGTCTAATTTGTTCTACACTATACATACACTTCCTTACAACATACACATTGTAAATTGTTTTATTATTATTTTTGAGGGGTTTTGTTTTTCTTTTGCTTTTGTCTTAATAATAAAACTAAATTAAATTAAGGTTTTAAATAACAACTAAAAACAAGTCTCTTGATCATAAAGTGTTAATTAATCATAAGTATAATAAAAGTGTTGTATAAGAAATATAATAAAAATTTAAATAATGAAATAATAATAATTACAAAAATTTATATACAATTTTAAATAAAAAGCAAATACATAGTTATAGTTTACCATATAAAGTTGGGCCTCAATTATATTAAGACTAAAAATTTCCTTGTTTGACAATGAATAATAATAATAAAAAATAATATTTAAAACCAAAATGAAAAAAAAAATTAATAAGTACTAATAAAAATATAACAGCTTAAGTATTTAGGCAGTTCACAGAAAGTCAAACTTTTCAAACCATATTGTAGTACATGTTTTTATATTTTTTAATGTTAAACAATATTAAGTCAATGTTTTTGCCTTTTTAATGCAATTAATTTAATTACCTCCTACAACACACTGTGAATAGCCTTAATAAAAGTACTTATTATTCAAATATGTCCGTACCTACAGTTTGTATATAATGTTTAATACTGTAGATATATAATAAGCCATTTGTTATACATCATTTAATATAATGGCTGAAACTAAAAACAAAAAAAAACATAAACAAAAAACCCAACCAAATATAGTTAAACATGGCGAACCAGCGAACAGTAACAGAATAACAACAACAAATTGTATGTGAATAATAAGAGTGGCATGAAAAAAATATATATTAAAACAAATTAAGTCAATTGATATTTTATTTAATAATCTCATTTGTAAATGATTTTTTTTTTTGTAGTGTTTGTTGTTTTTGCTTCTTTTCCCTGTTTTTGTAATCATATTATAACACTGTGCAACAAAAAGTTAAGGCTTAAAATTGATTTCATTTTAAGGCGAATTCATCGAGGTGCGACTGACAGTGTGAACCTAATGTAAGTGTTTATATGAGAGTGATCCCAATCAATACGTCAAAATTGTGCATAAAGTACTAAAGTTCTCAAATACTCAACTTTATCGTACGACGAAGATGAAAAAGAGAAAATGATAACAAAAGTTTTGTTGCTTTTCTTTATTGTTTTGTCGGCCACACAATGATTGGGCATCACTTTTTTACGATGCGTAAAGTATTCTATATGTTTAAGACTGTTCACACGACACATTCGAAGTATTATCCCTATCAATACGTTAAACTTGTGCGCAAAGTACTAAAGTACAGAAATACTAAACTTTGCCGTACGACAAAGAGGACAGAGAGAAAATGAGAACAAAATTTTTGTGGTTTTTCTTCATTGTTTTGTCGGCAACGCAATGATTGTGCATCATGTTTTTGCTTAAAGTATTCTATATGTTTTAGCTTTACGATGACGTCAAAAACTTATGTCGCTTTCTAAACAACTAAAATATTAATGACCCTGTTCACACGACACATTCGAAGTATTATTCAACAGTTTATCGCCTTTTTCTTGTCATTTATTGACAAATCTCTACTCGAGGGAATATTGTGAAGTTAGTGTATGTATTTATATGAGAGTGATCCCAATTAATACGTCAAACTTATGCACAAAGTACAAAAGTTCAAAATTATTCAACTTTGTCGTACGACAAAGAGGAGAAAGAGAAAGTGATAACAAAACTGTTGTTTTTTCTTTATTGCTATGTTGCTCAAAGTATTATTTAAGCCCTACGACACCGTCAACAACTTATGTCGCTTTCTGAACTACAGAACTATAAATGAGCCTGTTCACACGATACATTCAAAGTATTATTTGATCGCCGTTTTCTTGTCTCTTATTGACAAATCCCTTCTAGAGGGAATATTGTTAATATATTGCCTAGCAGGTGAGGATGGACAATCTATTCTCTCCCAATCCACCATAGGGAATTCTTTATTCTCCGCGTCAAGTATTAAACTGCTCGCGAATCATGAGTTGTCTTCATCCTGCAATCGGGAGCAAAATACTACTAAAAAGTTGGATATCTTGGCCTCCGTTGTGGACATTAAGCCAGGTGTACAGCATGTCCTTAGGCAAAATGCTAAGGTGAAAGAGAAGGATGTACTCGAATGGAGCTCTAAGCAACCTTGGCCTTTATGTAATGCTAAGGATTTCGACTATGAATGCTCAGATGATAATAACAACACCTTGCGATACTACAGGGTGTTCCGACTCTGAATTCTAAGATGATAATAACATGCCAACAAAAGTGAAGTAGAGAAGGTGGATGGTATATGACAGCATAACTAAGCTATACTCTACCAAAAAGAGTTATTAGGGGCACAGAGGAGAAAGTTAAAGGAGATGCTTTAGGAGATTATGTTGGGACAATCCTAGGACACTCCAAATGGTCTATTGATTTCTCTCTCAACCTCGGAAGCAAAGAGAACCAGATCTTCTGAGGAACTGAAAACTGACAATAGATCCAAGAAGAAAAAGAGATCACAGAGAAATAAAACTAAAAGGAAAGAAGCCCCTAACAGCGCGAAAGAAGAAGCTAGACGCAATCTTTTCCCATCATATTCATATTGGTTCAAATCCAGAACACTCCAAAGAATATATCGTATTGACTCTCAACATTACAGGCAAAGAATAAAAAGAGATCAAACTCGAGGTAAAGTATTCCCCACCTACGCGAAAGAACAAGCTAGACCGGAGAAGAGCCGCAATCTTATGTCAAAAAGGTCTTCAAAGGACTCTGAGAGCATTCTTCTTGTGGTAAGTATTGACCAGGCCTTCAATGCTAGCTTTTTCCAGAACAAAGTTAAGGCTTTTTTCTTTTCTAAAGTTGCCTTCTTCAAAATTGGAAAGTTTCCTATTGGCAGGTCAATAGCACCTATACTGTCTTCCAAATTTGATTCTCATTAGACTCTATAGACAACCTGGAAGAGTCAAATCCTAGATTTGTAATTAAGGAGTTGTATTACTATAATTTTGCGAAATTTGAATCAAATTGACGTGTGAACATAGCATACATAAAAATTGTTGGAATTGCTTTTGTATAAGCTTTTGAAATAATAGAAAAATATGTCAAATTTAAGAGCCTATATGAATGAAAATCTAACCAACTCTGTAAAGTTTTTCAAAGATTTTGTTAATCAACTGCTACAGCAGTTAAAATGTCAAAAGTTTTGTCGCCCAGTGTTACTGGTATGTGTATGCAGTAGTGCGTTTGTTTTATAAAATTGCTTGTGTATTTGTGTGGTAGTGTAGTTGTAATATTTTCGTTTTTTTTTATTAATTATATTTAATTAAAATTACCATTCATTATAATACAAGTACAAGTCAATTACTCTAATATTGCGCAATTTGTTCAGAATTTCGTTTTCATTAAATTTAATGTGCTGTTTGCTGCTTATTTTAGTGTATGGATTTTTTTTATATATTTACCATGATTTATATTTTTTCCATTTTTTTCGATTATTTTCTTGTTTCTTAAAATATATTTTGGGCTACTTGCTCAGTTTATGACCAAAATTTATTGCAGAACAGAAGTGACAAGGAACTAAATCTTGTTTTTTTAAGTTAAGCAATATACAGAGGAAGAAAGTTTTTGAATTGTTGGTGCCTCCAAACATTGTTTAAAATAAGCTTTTATGAAAACATGTTTGCTTTAACTTAAGATTGTTAATGCAAATAAACAAAAGTTTTAAATAATTTATAGTTTTTGTAAAGAAACAAAACTTATCCAAAGGAGAAATTATGAAACTAGAAAATGCAATCAAAAGCTTTTAAGCTTTCCAGAAATTAGTGTAATGTTTAATATTATTTGACAATCTAATAGCTTTTAGTTGGTCGATAATCAAAAGCTATTTAGCTTTCGTAAAGATCTTTTCATTTTGTAATATTTTCTTTTTGTGACGATCTCTATTTGAAAGCTTTAAGTGTTAAAGGAAAGCTTTAGAATTCAAAAATTTATCGCGAGAATTAAACAAATTTCAAATGTTAAAAAGTTTGGATCGCGATATTTCTTACGAAAATCTTGGGTTAAGTCCAAACTTCTTTATATTTCCGTATCTCAAACAAATGTCTTAAAACTTGAAACCTTTTAATGAATCCCTTTGAAGTTTCCCTTGAAATAATTCTTTTAAACAACTGTTTTTTTTTTTTTTTTTCTTAAAAAAAAATGGAATTTTTGGTCGTCTGGCAGACTGGCTGGTCATATCATAATAATATATAAGAGAGACTACTACTATACATGTTCCATTTATTATGCCTTAAGTCTTCATAAAGTAATTTCTTTTATGATTCACTCATAAACAGCTCTCTCAAATTAAGTACTTTAAACTTATTTTGTTTTATGGTCCGTCATCGTCAAGGTAACGTACCTACGACGTACATTCGTTGGTTGCTGAATACAATTAAATCATTAATTTTTGGTGTTAAATAATAAGAAAAGTGCCCCTTACAGTTAAACTGCTATGAACCCAAAATATATAGTAGTTTGCATTTCTTTCACTTGTAATTATGATGATGATGATGAAGTTGGCTGGCTGTCAAAAATTTTGGTTGCTTTATTGGTTACTGCTGCTGGAAATTTCATCTAAATTTATGTGTTATATGCCGTATATACAAGAATGTTAATGAGTCCAATCATTTGTCAAATGTTTTTGGTTGGTTACTTCTTACATAAGTATATATCTTTTAAGTTCAACTGTTAATATTTTGTTTTTAAGTTATTTCTAAGTTGTTTTTTAAGTTTTCGTAAATATTTTTGGTATAACATTTGTCTGCTCTCGCCTTACAGTCGTCTACAAGACTCATGTATTGTTGAATAACAACGATTCTATGCTAAAGGGATTACTGCGTCGTATACTAATCGGTGAGGTTTGCTGATGATTCGGTGAGGAGGAGGATGATGACGATGAGGTGGTATTTTGTAATTTTAAATGAAAATTCGTTGCTCGACCGGGAAACAGAAACGGTTTCTCATCTACACCTACGTGCAGATTATGCTGATTACTATTGTTATCATCGTCTCGATTATCGATGCCACTATTCGACATGGGACTGCCCAGACCATTGGGACTACCACTGGGCGAATAGCTATTGTTGGCTAAATCACTGCCGCGTGGTGATCGGAAATCCAAGTCATCATCGTCATCGCTCTCTGTTCCGCCCACCACATCGATTTGGATGCTATCATCTTCGAGATCTGAATCAGAAAATGTGCCATTGGCTTTGTGTTGTGATATGTATTCAGCCTTAAGTGCTTCAAAATCAACGGTTATACCTTTTGCCTGCAGTTTTCTAGCCTGTCTATCAATGGCTTTGGCTAATTTCTTTCTTCGCCGTGCTCTGCAATTGAAAATTTCAAGAAAAATATAGATTTTGTTTAATAACTAGAATTTTTAAGATTTATTTTAATCAAAAGCTTTTTGAAAAGTTTTAAATCTTTCCTTAGAACCTTTTTCATAATGATTTATCAAATCTTTAAAGCTTTGATAAATGATTATATTTAAAACCCTAAATTTATACCAATATCATTGCAATATCTAGACTATTCCAACAAATACGGATAGTACGTTCCATCTAGCGGATAGTACGTTCCATCTAGCCTTAATCTTGATAACTAACCTTTCTTTAGCTTTTAATTCATTGGGCGGGATGGGTTCACCGGAACAGGTTTGAGGCTGAGCATTGTGGGCAGGTCTACCAGGTCCTTTCTTGGTATGCTCACGTTTTCTAACTTTGGCACGCCGATTCTGGAACCATACCTATCTGAAACAAAGTGTATATTTTTAGAATAAGTTCGGAATAAGGAATTAACTTATATAAATAACCAAAACTAATAAGAAAGCGAGAAACCTAAGATGCCTTAACTATAGCAAGTTGACAAAATTGCCGACGGCTTAAATATGGAAACATTTCCTTATTTTGTATTCAAAATTCTCTATATCTCTTTTTATTACGGTTATTCTCTTAATTACAAATACAGTACAAATTTTAATTGAAAAATTTACATCAAAACTAAACTTACCGCAACACGACTCTCCTTGAGATCTAAACGCATGGCCAAAGCCTCACGCATAAATATATCGGGATAATGACTGGCCGAAAACGCCCGCTCCAATTCCTCCAGCTGCCAGGAATTAAAATTTGTACGAGATCTACGACGTTTGGCAGCACTGCTCTCGTCATCGCCATCTGCGGAAAACCCTAAAAACAATAAACAGGATTAAAAATTTAGAAAACTTCAAACTATTAATTAAGAATAAATGCATAGTAGGCTAATTAAGTAAAAATTATAGTCTTCGTTTACACAAGAATGAAAATAAATTATTAATTTTTACATAAACTTTTTATTAACAATTCAAAGTAAAAACTTGTGTAAAATTGTTTTTATTTTATGACCCAAACAAAACTATGTTAAAAAATGGGGATTTTTAAAATCCCCAAGGATTATGTTTTTCTATAGTTTAAATTAGAGTGAAGGGCTGTTGGCCCATTTATTTCATTTGTAATTACAGACCGACACTTTAACACATACAATTATATGTAAGTTATTCCACACATATACAATAATAAATATTCATAATCATATATTTCAATTATCAACATTTTTGTTTTGTTTTATCATAAATATTAGTAAAACGTTCATATACAAACAGTAGAGGGTGAAATTATAGCAGTTGTAATTTGTATGACAGAAATATCCCAGCTGTTTTATAAGGAATACATTGTTCTCTTAGACAAGTTTTTTTTTTCGAATTAACAAATACTTGTTTAATTGAATTTTGGACCATTTTACCATTAAGTGGCTCTAAGTAATGTAAAGAGAAAGTCTATCATATCCCTTTAGTGTCCCTAGATAATCTTGGTGCTATTATCATCTCACCGCTAGACATCCTCATAAAGAAGGAGCCACGCAAATCTGCACTGTCCCTTTAAAAAACTGTTGTTGGTGGGACTTATAAATACATTTATGATTGATCCTTACATGTAGACTCGTGACTGTGGATCAGCAGTTCTGATACTTTACATAACCTTTGAGATTCTTCTAAAAAAAAAATGGACCAATGGCAATTCTAGTGCGATAATCTGTGGTCCAAATTTCGTAAAAACCCTTCCTATGAGTAATTATCCATTAATCTTTCAGATGATGAAGTTTACGAAATTATAATTTCCATTAGAGAATGTCTGAGAAGGAAGTTGAGAGGATTAAAGATATTTGTCATGTCGGGTAGTCAGGCGGTCCTTAAGACCTTACTATGACATGAAATCGGGCTTGACATCACTCAGACACAAAAAAATAACCATTAACCTAATAACCTAACTTGATGGCAGGAATAAGTTGATCGTGTATGGCTTACAAATGGTTTCAAACAGATAAATGGCAATACTGGTGCAGGAATCTGTGATCCCAAATCTGCCAGGAGAAAGTTTACACAATTATCATTTGCATTGGACAATGTCTGAGAATAAATTTGAGAGGATTAAGGATTTTGTGATGTCGGATAGTCAGGCGACCCTTAAGACCTTACTATGACATGAAATCAGATCGGATATCGTACTTGACATTTCTCAAAGAAGTGGGTAGACACAATAAACTGACACTATCCTGTGAAATGTTCGAAACATGTTCTTTTCAACTGTCAGTCAGTCATTATGGCCTGTTAGAGCGAGTATTCATGGAGGCGAATTTTTATCCCCAAAAGAAATATTTTATCTCTCAACGACTAGAAACTTTAGATTCATATTTGAACTTAAATCTTAATGGTGAATCAGAGGACTATATGCAATATATTAACTCAGTGCGATAGCCGCAACAATCCAACAAGTAATCTTGAGAAAAGTTTAAAATATTTATTACGAAAAATATTTTAGAAAGTAGTTATTCAACACATTACAAGTAATCTAATAGTAATCTGTAGTTAACCGAAATAGGTTATAACACTAGTTAATGAGATGTTTCTAAAATTTAAGGGATAATCAAAAAAATCGTTTAAAATTATTATTTTAGAAAGTAGTTATTCAACCCATTACAAGTAATCTAATAGTAATCTAATAGTAATATGTAACTAACAGGAATAGGTTATATCACTAGTTCATGAGATGTTTCTAAAATTTAAGGGATAATCAAATAAATCGTTTCTAATTATTCTCGTTTTGAAATTCTCTAAAGTAAAGATGCCACAATTTTTACCACTACTGTACATTAGCACACATACATACATATTTGTAGTATTTATATCTCAAATAGTAATATGAACAGGTCATTTGTATTCTGGTAAAATGAAAACATTTTAATTACAAATCATTTTATATGTACATATAGAACCCAGCAACCACCACCACCACCTTTGCTAGAAATACGAGTGGCAAATGTAAATATTCGTAGAGATATAATTGTAACACAAGTGGCATAAATAGATTGTGAGAAAGTACAACAATACAATCTCGTATACAAACATAATCATAAATGTTCATTTATAAAGAGAATTCTATTATTTTTTTTTTTTTTTTTTGTAGATAATGGGTTGGTCGGTTGTTGGTTGCAATGAATTTTCTTTGCCTTCTACGGTTGGGAAGTGTTAGAAAAGTCAATTATACAATGTGTCCAAAGGGTCCGTTTGTCTGTGTGTCTAAAGTTGTTAACTGAAAATAACCATAATAAATACAACAAAATGACCAACAAAAGAGCATTTAAATAAATACAAGGAAAATGGGCCTGTTTTTTGAAAAAAGGCAAAAGTAACCGAAAAATACAAATGGAAATGTTTTAGATAATGATCATTAGTTTTGTTTTTTGTTAAACTAATTTTTCAAATAAGTAAAACTATGTTTTAAATAACATGGTTTTTGTTGTTGTTTTTGGTTACAGGTTGCAAGTAAACCTTAAAATAAATTCATTCATTTGAACCCTATATATATGTATATATTTCAAATGGTCAGTTGTTGCCACGGCCAACAACAACAAAAAAACAAAACTAATAAATAAATTTACAACAATACTACATGCCACAAAACAATCTTATCAAATATAATAGAGTCATTAACGGTGTTAGAGGTTGTTTTTATGTTTTATTTATTTCAAAACACAACAAAAATTCACTGCTTTCAGTTTTTGTTAAGGAACCAAAAGAACAAGAGAAGAAGAAATAATTTAAAACACCAGAAAAGTGGGAGGAGACTTGCATACATTGCCAACGCCCTAGAGACAAATAATTCTTACAATTTCAAAATTAAGGGGTGTCACTTTTAAGTAGTGGCATGTTTTCTGTTTTATTTCACTTTTATAACTTAATTCGAACAAAAACGGACTCATATAAACCATGAATGCAACTTGCCTAAGAAATCCTTGTTGCATGCATTAGCAAAGCATTTGTATGCCTCATAATAATGTTTATAATTCCCCATATTATTTCTAGATTTAAAGACTGTATTCTATGCTGTTTCATTAGAGAGATGCATGCGGCGAGTACCAGCGTCAGGAGTGTGAGTTTGTGGCATAAATGATAATTGAAATTTATTATGATTATGATTGTTATAAATGATCTTGGGTGTAATGCAAGTTGCCACAACCGGTAGGAGTTTTAAGTGCAATTCAATGCAATTGTCCACCACATCATAGTCAAATAGAAATCCACATGGTTTGTTTCACAATATTATAGACAGTTGCACAGTGCTAGAGTCTCAGTTGCAATAGACAAAATTAAAATTAACTTACAATTGCAGAAAATGCTAAAATTTTACACTCAGAGATGAAAAGTAGTGAATTCATAAACGTTGCAACATAGGAGAGAATCTGTATTGACTTAGACTTTTTGATTAGGAGCAATTAGAAAGTCAAACGATATATCGGGGATTGTCCTAGCAGTTTATCGTCAAGCTCAGAAAGTAGCGTTCCAGAAAATGGCGAAAATTATACTGGGAAACGATGTCGTGATACATTATCTTCATGCTGAGATCCTATCGTTCTAAGTAGAAAGTGGGAAAACTAATACTGGCAAACGCTATATCAAGGATTGTCTTGACAATATATGGCGAAAGTTAGACTCAAGGTCTTCTCATGAGAGCCGCAAGCACTGGCGGTTTGTCATGCTATCCTTGACATTATAGCATACCACAAAGTTTCATATGATTCATGCACATTTTGACACTTTCGAAAGTAGCATAAGGCCCATGAACTGTGCGAAAGAAATCATTAGAATATTTGAATAAATTGTCAGAAATGGGCCCTCTATTTCTCTATTATTGGAATACATAATCCATTTAGGTAATCCAAAAACTACTCCCCGGGAATCATTATTAGAGTTCATGATCCGTTTAGTAGACCTAGGTAATGCAGACTATGGATCACGTTCATTTGTTTTGAAAACCACATAGGACCCTGTGGTTCATGTACTCCTATAATTTTAGCAAGAGTATAATTTTGAGATTAGTCTAACGTAATGCATATTTGGGCCAGTCCAAGTCCTTTGTAGACTTCTCTTTGCACGCGTGTGCGCAGTGGTATATATATTTTGCAGGATATTTAGTGTGTTCCAACATCCATGAACATTATGACATTCAAAATAAGACTTTTTTGGTTACAAAATAGGACGACTACCAGGTATTCCAGATGATATAGTTAAGATTCTGAATCTAATCTGAGTATTAACTGGACTGAAGAGAAATGATCTAAGGCCTCTAGTAGAAGTATAAACCGTCTCAATTAAAGCTTTTGGACAGTTAATGGGAATAGGACGGATAGTTATGGAATAGGACGGATAGCTAGGTATTCCAGATGATATAGTCAAGATTCTGAATCTGATGTGAGGATTAACTGGACTGAAGAGGAATGATCTAAGGTCTCTAGAAAGCTCAATTAGAACTTTCAACGGTTAATGGGAAAATACCATACCGGAGGATTCCGAAGTGCTCCAGACGCTATTTGTCTTTGTTTTATTTTAGTCAAAAGTGGTTAAATTTCATAAAGAATCAGGGAATCACACCAACAGCTAAGCTTTATCTGGAGGGAGAGGTTGGCAGTTTTCAAGGAGCGCTCCTTTACCAGTGCCTAAGGAAGGAATTGAATTGAACTCCGTTCTATCAAACTAGAACACTAACCAATTATACCACCAGACGAAACCTTTAAGCAATTCGTGAACTGATATGCCCTTGTTTCGTAACGATTGACCAAATGTCTTAGAATTTGTCCAGGGTTTGTGCCTATA